TACTGTGTTGTTTTTCTTCTATATTAAACACATTCAGGGTAATAATATAGCTACGGCTTCTTGCGTTTCTTCCCTCGTCCCAAATAACCCGTTACGGGCGGGGGGGGGGGGAGGCGCAAACGGGCCAGGAGGGCGGGAGAGGCGAAAGTTAGAACCGGCTCGTTCGTTCGGTACCTCTTTATCCAACGCTTGACGACGCTCAGACAACCCTCGTCGGCGGCCGCCCTCGACGCTTCCAGGGCTTCGTCGTATCTGCGCTGTTCGTCGGGCGGCAATATCGTGATGATGGTGTACACCACGATGCATTGGTAGTCCATGACGGCGGCGACAGGATTCGGACGAGTGCAGCAGAGAAGCCGGCCGTTGTCGCGCGCGCACTAGAACAGCGCGACGGCCGCAGCCGCCGTCGCGACGAATCGACGGAGACACGTTGTCGGGGTAGGCGCGCAAATACTATATTATACAGTTACAAACCGCGCGCGCGACCGATTCTCCTCTTTCCACTCTTCGCCACAAGGCCGGAGTTTTCCTCGGACGACCGACCGAAGATAACTCCGCTGCGAAACTAAATGTTTTTTTTTTTTTTTTTTTTTTACCAGGCCAAACAGACTACTCTACTATTACAACACCTATATATATATATTATAATAAAGAAGTCAACCAGCAGCAGCAGCTACCGTACCGGGCGGCGACGTCGACGGACAGCGCTGTGTCCCCGTGCTCGAAAAGATAACAACGCGTACGGGAAAAGCAACAGGCGGGCACACCTCGAGCACGGCGAGCGACAGTGGCGCGGCGCGAGCTGCTCCGTCGCCATGGTGACAAACCGTGCGCTCCGATCCTGGCCGCTCCAGCGTTCGCTGCTCGACGCACCCCCTCCTCCCCTCTCCTTTCCAGCCGGGTTTGGCGAAAATCCGGAATTTTAGGGTTATTAAATCTATAAATTGTTATAACTACAATAACATATGTTGTTGATATAAATTATTGTTATCCAAGGAATATTCGGTCAATTGAAGTTGAGTTATGCCTTTGGGAACGATAGAAAAACTTATTTATTTTCAACAATACATTTTCGAAATGTACACATACATCATACTTAGCCAAAACGGCTTTAACCGCAAAAAATCAAACTTAGTTTTATGCATTCAACTTTTAAGAAAATATAACATTTCAAAACCCAAACTGACCCCCAAAAATAAAAATAAAAATTATCTACAAAATGGCAGAAATGTATTTGTTGGGACCTGTCATTTAAATAATAGCATTCGACATATTTTAATTGGTCGTTTTCCCTCAAAATAATAGATTTGTGGGTTAGCTGTTTCGCGCCTATGTTGTACTTAAATAAAAAATGGTACGTTTTTGCTTGGTTAAGTTTTCAATCGTCGTTTTCAAACTACAACTTATTATAACAGCTCAACGGTCACAATAGTAGTTGAATTTATTAATAAGAAAAAAATCCCAACACAGTAGGGTCGAACAGGGACCCTAGAGGTCACAGATCTCGATGAATTATTAAATTTCAACAAGTGACTATAGTATTGATTTTTTTTTTTGGTGTTTCTTTATAAATAAATTAAGTTTGACTTTTAATTATAAAATAATTGTCTTGTATAATAGCGATGCCCTACTGGATCTACCGTAGGTCTAAAATATATTCAGATGTCATGTAAAAACACAAAGGGTTAAAACCCCAAACAAAAACTAAGTTTCCATCCCATCCCTTCTATGATAATATTTTTTAGTTTTTCACTGTACATCGAAAATAGTGTAGTACCTACTAAACCTATAGAACATCTCACACATAAGTTTTGATGTAAATTATATAACTATATACATAAAACGTTGCTATATAGGTTGTTTGGTATTAAAATCGAAAATGATTAATTACACTCCGTTAAAAGCGTTTTCTCAGAGAGTCAATAACCGTTTTTAGCTTCAGGCAAACCATCGATTTCTATGAACAGAATATGTCGGGGTCAAGTATCTTATTAATACACAATTATTAGTGAAAGTCAATAATAACGGTCTGACGGTGGTCGATTGGCAAAATTATCGGTACAATATTTAGTTAATGACCTAAAAGTCACTGGAAAGGGTGACCTAAAGAAAGTGGACGAAGCAAGTTGTTAAAAAAAAGTTCTACGTCTTGACGTTAAAAAGTTTCAAGAATAAATTTTTAAAGTTATTTCTATCGCAGGAGCAATTAGAGATTACACAAATACTTGACAAATAAAAAAAAAGTTTTGTTAAAATTATTCACCGTTCGTTCGTTATGCATTATTCATGAATAAACATATTATTTTTTGGTCATTAATTATAAAAAAAAAAAAAACAATTTGATGTTTGTGAATATACTTATCAACCGAGACGACTTTTGGAGCTGGTAAAACGTTCAAGTTACACCATAACCAAAGTGTTGGGCGAAATTTGAACAATGAATAAATACTTATTTAAATAAATTGTAACAAATGCAATTTTAAAACAAATCGAATAACGTATCAATTGGAAAAAAAAAAGATAATAAATTCAAATCTATTATTTGGCAATTGTCAATAAAAGAAATAATTTCTGGATTTTCTACAAATCGTTATAAATTCTAATCAAATTACAGCCAATATCTTTCCTTCGAGGGAGAGATTAATGTTCAACCTCCCTAGAGCACGACCAAATAATGTTTCAGCAGGATATATGTGTGTATACATAATATAATAATAAGGTATATAGAGCAGTCTAGCCAGATTGCATTATCTAGTTAGTAGGTACAATAAGCTGGCTGATGCAACGCAGGGGGATACCGTACAAGTTTTTTTTTTATTACAAACAACAAAAAGCAAATGCCAAGTCACACCACAACGTCGGTGCTTGTTTTTGTAAGTATTATATATCACGAAGACGGGGTAAAGCCTCTCAAAACCCTGTAGAATTACTTTTGAAGCACACGACGTGGTGTCTGACAAAGTGACATTAATCCGAAGCATGGGCAAGAAAGAAAAGGCGGCTTAAGTTCCCAACACGGGTGTCAAGCACGAGTTTTGAGTATAAGTAAAAGTGTTAACCCACAGTGACAGTGACGAGACGCTTTGTTGAATTTTTAAGGTCAATTAAAAACGTCCAAAAAGAAAAAAAAAAGTATAAGAAACTTTTTTTAACGATAACTCGACAACCGAATAAGTAACCGGAACTTTTGAACTTTAAATTTTTCCAAATGTACTACAAATTTTACCTCATTTAGACAATTTTCGGACCATTCGGTACTAATCATGTACAAATGACCTTTAATACAATTTTACACGACAAGAATAATATAAATTATATTTCCAATGTGTTATTCTTGTGGATGACATTTGTTAATTTTTTTTTTCTCAATACTTAAAAAATTTGAAAACCAATACACGTAGTAAATAAGTACCATTGCAAAAAAATGTGGAATGATCAAAACTAGTTTTTGACAAAAATATCACTTGTAAGCAAGTGATATGTAGCACTTTTGAGCAAGTACTACATAAAACCAATTGTTGGTAAATTAAATTAGTTTATAAAAAAATGATAAATTTTCAGTTTCATAAATCTGTATAATGTAGTATGCATTAGATTATTTTTTTTCAGAGTGGTCCATAATAGAACACAACCAGCATTATTGTTATTTCAACAAACCGTCGGGGCCTGATTTGCATTATAGTGAAAATATTGTACTCATAAATATTTATGCAAAAAACAAACACCGTGTGCTTTTTGGTTTGGGTATATATATATATATATATATATATATATATATTTCACTATATATATAGTTGAAATGTAAATGAAGTAGATATAAATAAAAATAAAATTGATAGGTACTGTGTTGTCATACCTATCAATACATACCACGCCGTTGTCAACAGACTGTCGGGCGCTATCCTGTTTTAATAATTGACAATGTCTGGTGTGTATTTTACAATTTTTTTTAGAAATGGCGTGTCACAGATGGTGTCTAGTGTTCGTGGAGACTGTTTTTGCCCGTTTGTAATGCTGTTTCAAACTTTAAAAATATATATATATATACATATATGTATGTATATATGTTACACATTGACCCCTTGTGTACGTGGAAACCCATGGGAAAACAGAATTCTACTTTCTCGAATCGATACACATAAACAGTACAACCGGCATAATAAACAAAGTTCAGGTCAACAGAGTTTCTTCGAGAAAAATTCGATTGCTTCTCTTCTTTAGAATTTCATTACTGGAAAACTTTCAACAGAGAGACAGCGCTTATAAGTAAATATTGACAAAACGATTTCTGGGAAAGAGCTAGAAAAAAAAAAATGATCAACTAAGTTTTTTCCCGAAAACATCTGCGACAACACATAAAAGGGCAGTTTTTCTGTTGAAACTTGTTTATTATATTTAAAAGGGAAAATCATAAAAATACAATTTCAAAGAATGCCGGCACATTCTTGAATGCATTTATAATTAAATGAAAAATTAAATATAATATGTAAAAATACCCAAACCAAACGCAACGGTATTTCCTTGGATAAGAATGAGAACAATATTTTCACTAGTAATGTAGACGGGCCGATTAAATACATACTGAAACTTATTAGCAGAATGCAAACGTTATAAAAATAGATTTTTTTTAATGACAGCTTGTGTTATCACACATAGAAAAATCACCAGCGGCAAACCAAATACCAATTTTCCGTTTATCCAAACAGCAATCCGTATACTTGCCGAATGATCAGAACATGATTATACATGCTAATTTTTTACGTAACTGAACACAAACCATGTTCAACAACTTTTCAATTACTGTGTTTGTATGAAGCGATTAAAATGCTTAAAATTATATACAAAAATATTATTCTATGGTTTTATTTAGATCCTAAAATCGTTTAAAAAAGATATACAATGCTTGCACCACAATAAAATTATTTAGAAGTAAAAATGTTTGTAAAAACATCATCGAACATTCCACGCTAAGCTAAGTAATCACCATTATGAAAGCTTACCTGTCGAAAATTCTGGATTCTTTCAAAACGTTTCCCAGGTTGATGTAAGCGTCTAGGAAATTTGGATCTAGAGCGACGGCCTTTTCGAAATGATGAATAGCCAGCCATATTTCATTGAGCGAATTGAATACGCATCCCAAATTGCTCCAAGCCACCGCAAAGTCTGGTCTAGTTTCAATAGCTTTCAGGTAGCATGACTATAAAATTAAAAAAAAAAAAACGGCGAAGGACCGAAAAGGAGAACAAAGGTTGGGAAATTGATAAAAAAAATACCATTAGTAAATAGAAATAGCTGTGTTTTATGTTATTCATTAAGTGTAAACGGAAAACAGACTGAAAAAAGTGTTATGTACAACTTCCTCTCCAGAAAAAAAGTTTTTTTAAGTTTTGGGAAAGCGCAGAAGAGAGAAGACACATGTGATTGTATGCCAGTCCAGTTGAATACTAAATTTGTCTGTCGTGACTGCTGAAATGTTTCATATTAGAAATTGTAATTAATCGATATTATCATTCGGCGACTTAGCCAAATATTAAAAATGTATAATTAAAAAAAAATTAAGTAACTCTTCTTACACGATTATCATTTTAGCAGCCAGACCTCTTTTAGGAAGCGCGCAACTACGCAGCGACATAGCGCGAACATAAAATAAACTTTGTTTATTTTATGTCGTACTACGTTTGTGGCGGGACCTAAGCGCGCGTAAGCCATACTTTGTATTATTTTTATAACACACTACACAAGTGTGTATTAGGAGAGAAAATGTACACAAGCGCGCGTGCTTCGTCTTATAACTCCTCATCTCTTGACACATTCCTATAAACAAAAACAAAAAATGCAATTGTTAAGAAAAAAAAAATCCTAGCACCTAACATTGTGTTTGGCCCACTTCATTAAGAGAAAATCATGAACTACACTTGCATTATAAATTGACAAACTGTTAGAATTAAAATTAAGACAATTAAAAAAAAAATTGTTTAAAAACGTTAAAGCGTGAAAATGTTTTTAGCCTTTAACGAATTAGTACGGGTTCAAAGGTCATGAACGTTTATGGTCTACAATGACGGTCAATCTGCCGATTGTCAAGGTTAATCGACGATCGATTGTAATTGAAACCGGGCAATAAAAGCAAAACCCTACGTAGAGTGACCAAAGGCCCAAAGGCTAAAAACATTAAAAAGTTTAAGAAAAAAAAAGTCACATCATAATTTTCTCAAAAGGGGGGGAGAAGAAATTACAGATAAAAAGAAAATAATAATAATTATTAACAAGTTTGTCCATTCGTAAAGTGAAACTGGCGTTGAGATGATCATTGTTACGAGAGTGTGAGGCGAGTGGTTACCAATAATAAAATGTAAACAATAGAATAGTTATCCTTTTTGGCGTAATTTCCCGTTTACAAAATTTGAATTTTTCTTAAACACTTGTGAATTACTTTGTACCTATTATGTATGAACGTGGTAGCTATTCACGAAATAGGAACACACTCGCCGTACATCCTCATCAAATAAACACACAACATTTTCGTATCACGGACCTAGAAAACTGGTAATGGTACCTGAAAAGTAAAAAAAAAAAAATCCCAATGATATTAGTATGCATTTGTTTCAATCAATACCAGTTTATTCTTTGTGTGTATGAATAGTTTAAAGAGAAAACGTGCCGAGTAAAAAATTTTGGTTGCCGACTCAAAATAAATGACTATGTCTGACTATAAAAAAAAAACCTTTAAAGACCATATGTAGAAATAATCGGCATTGCTCATACAAATGTTGTACCGTAATCGACCAAAGTTCAATGAAATTCAAATCTTAATACAGTCTTAGAAAAGGGACGCTTTCTCGATTGGCTAAAAAAAAACTAGTTGTCAAAATTAAAAAAAAAAAAAATACCAGCTAGAAGTTAACACAAAATTGTTCCATCCTTATATAACTTAAAGTTGTAATATTTCATAATTTTTTTTAACGATAATTAAGTAAATCACTTAACTAATTGAATGAAAAACATCATATTATTTAAGTAGGTATTCAGTGTATGAAAACTAAAAGTTCATAAGTAAACTATTAGAATGCTTATTATTTTTATTTTTATTTATACCCTTTAAACACTTACGTTTATTTGTAGAAATCAAACTATTTAATTTATCGTGTACAGAAAAAAAATTACAATTTTGTCAAAATGTTTCTATAATAATAATGTTTTCAAAACTCTAACCCAACTGTCAAAAATTCTCAATTTTAAAATGTAAAAAAAAAATGAACATTGGCATTTCTCCATGTTTATGTTTAATATCGAGTAATTTTTAAAAACTTAAAACCCCTAAATAAAAATAATATCGAGAACTTTTCTTTGTTATTAGAAATAATATTGCTTTATAAAGACTTTGTAAATAATAATAAAAAAATTATTTTAAAATCTTAATTTTGTTTAATTTTCAAAATTAAAAATACGATAAGTAAAAATATAATAAAAAATTAACGAGAACGAGTTCATCTTTTAAGTGAACGTTCTCAACACTGAAAGGTTACCATAAAAGACAGCAAACGTAGGAAATACAAATTTGATCTCTTTCTATAAAAGTATTCAATTTAAAAAAAAAAAAAATTAGAGCTCAGGTCGAGAAAGTGTCCAAATTTTTGTTTTTTAATTTTAAATACTTACCAATAGTATTGACAAAATCAGAGGTCGTCCACATCATTTTTGTAGCCAGGAATGTAAATAAGATAATGCCAAAGAGGAAAAACCGGATAGATTGTTCAGAATAGGAATTATGAACAATATTTCATTCGTTAAATGAAAAGTCAATCACGTATTGTACGCAATACAAGGGTCGTCGTTGTTGTAGGCCGGCGCAATGAATATCGTTAATGTAATGATTTAATTTTTAATAATCGTCAATAACATTATTCTTTGATCCCACTGTAGAGCGTCAGAAGTTGCAAATATGTTTAAATAAATATTTTCATTTATACGAAATAAAGGAGAGTATTTATACCCATTACGATTAAATTTAAACGTTAGCTTTATTAACTCTACAACAGAATTGAAAATGTATTTATTAATATAGAAATAAAAATGTATAATTTACTAATTTTTTGAAGACAGTTAAATAAATATTCATCTACATAAAATACAAAACATAATCAGTCATTTACGATTATATAAAAATTATACTTGATAAGAGGAGTTCCAATTATAATATGCACGACTGATAAAAAACCGATTATGTTTTGTACAATATTGGTTTAGCTTTGTCGATGGACAAATAACACATTTGAAAAAAGTCAAACGGCCAATTCAAAAGCATAAAATTAAAATACACGATTACATCTTGTTAAATACTTAACAAAGTTTAATTATTTTCTATATGTATGCCATAAAAATTTGTAAAAGAAATCAATAGATCGGGAAAAAATATATATTTTATACTTTTACATTGGCTATGTGACTTTTCTCCGCGCAAAAATTTAATTATGCAAGCGCCGCGCAGCCAATTGTGTATCTTGTATGTATGTTTTCAAAACAAAACATTTTTTTTTTTTTAATTAATGCATTTAGGGAAATATAATATAAAGAGTTGTCTACATTATAGTTACGATTAAATGAAAAAGAGTTCATATAAAAATATAAATAAACGAGAACAACATACATACATAGACCAGCAACTGAATTCCGCAAACAACAAAGAAAAAAACACTATTGTTCACGGAATAAATTTATTTTAACAGGATAACTATATTTTTTGAACCAGCATTTAAGAAATAAATAATGCGCAGCATTTTAAGCTAACGTTTTGAATAAATTATCGACTGGCATTTGTAATCCATATGTGATTGGTTCAAAAAATTTAGTTCAAATATCGCGCATACAAGATGAATATCTATTTTTGTCTCGAGATACAACACAAAAGAAAAGTTAAAATCTCAAAAATTTGATGTTAATTTTTTTTATCAGTGACCGATCTACAACAGAGTACCTGAAAATATTAACGAAAAACAATATCATTTTGTTGTGTTTACCTTAGCTTCGTCCAATCTGCCTAATGCTTTTAACAAATTCCCAAGATCGCTTCGAACGCAATACAACTCCTAAAAACGTACAAAATATTATTATAAACGAATAGAAAAAAAATTTAAAATTTTAAATGTTGCGATCGAGTACGTACAGGATTATATTGCAGTGCAGTTACATACGCTTGAACCGCTTGTTCCATATCGCCGGCAGCCACCAAAGCAGCTGCGAGATTTATGTAGCCGTCGATAAAGTCTGGTTTCAACCGAACAGCATGCCGATAATTGTCCAATGCATCTTGAAGTTGCCCTCTCTCTTTGAAAACATTTCCTAAATTGCTGTATGCTTCGGCAAGAAGTGGATTGTGTTTAATAGCCAACGACGAAAATTGTGCAGACCTAGAAACGGTTTGAAAATAAATTTTTTCTTATGAAGATTCTATTCGATTAATAATATATAGGTTGAACAAAACACATACTTGTCTAATCGTCTGCATTGAAAGTGTATCGAAGACAAGAGCAGTAGTACGCCGGTATTGTTTGGCTCTTGGCGCCAAAGCTGCATACAATGTCTTTCGGAACTTTCATAGTCGCCTGCTTGATATTCTCTGTGTGCCAGCTCGAGTAAACCTAATGAACATATTATATTATAGTCAGTGTTTATTGTTGGTAAAATGATCGATGACAGAACAAAATAGTTGAAATTCTATTCACAATATCGACAATAGTTTGCTAATTTAGATCGTACTTTAATTCTATTGATTAACAAAGTTTTAGGCAAATTTTACTAAGAGGAATAAGCCCTAAAGGTTTTATACACAGATATCACTTGAAAATATCTTTTACGTTATTTATAAGCCATCAGTTTAAAAAAACAAAAATTGTTGGCATCACTTAATTTATCAATACTGAAAATAATCTAGTCATGCCAAAATATGAGATTCGCATTGTGACAGTAGAAGCGACGTGATTAAGTACCAATAGCATAATTTGGTATACCACCATTGTTTTGAGCAAAATTGAATTAAGATAATATATAATAGATCATAATTCGACAAATAATGTGTATTTATCAACGAATAATCGGTAGATCATTTTTTACTTATAAATAAAATTATATTGTAACACAAGAACTAAAAGATAGTCAATTTATAATTAACAGATAAAAAGTTATTTTAGATAATTTCATAAATCGGTAATAAAAATCATTTTTTGTCTATTACATGTCTATTACTATTATTGTTATTATTATTAAAACACATTTGGTCAAAAAGCATACGAAAATATTTTAATAAATAAATTGCTTTGGTAAATAAAAACAAATAATTTTTTAGCTGCAATGTCTTAGCCGAGAGGGTATTAGTTTTACAATAGTATTTTTTTTTTCTGAAGTCACATTAACTTTTTTCCTGTGGACAGATTTTTACTCTAGTAGCTACTCTCTAGATCCCTAGTTGTATCCGATCGGTACTTTGGTGGGTAGGAAGTGAAAAAGTTCATCCTTTCTCCTTCAAAATCATAAAAAACACCCAAAATATTAACTCTTATTTTTAAACTTTGAATTGCAGCATGCTATAACTTTTTTTTAAATAGTCAAATTAGTTCCAAATTAAGATTGAATATTCTTTAGACATAATACTACCACTAAAAATTGACAAATCAAACAAATATCATAACCTTTCCCTCTAGAAGGAAAGAAATTATTTTATTTGCTTTTTTTGTTGAAGATTAAGGGATTAAAGTCTGAAAATTGGTCCAAAGGTAGATCTAGAATGGGTCTACAGCATAAAAAATGTTCTCAAAAATTTGAAGTCAAATTGTGAACAGGTATTAAAAATATTTGCATTATATTGTTGATTACGATGTATGGGTAACACAACGGCACTAAATTATTATAACAGACGGTCAACCCTAATCGTATCCACCCTTACTAAAAATACGTTTTTTAGCACATTATATCATTACAATGCCATTATCGATATTTGTAATTCTACAATTACATATCCGTAACAAAGCGTTTATTTGAAAATGATTTTACCACTTTCAGTTTTTACAATTTTACTCGGTTATTAAACATGGAATTAAAAGTCCACAGATGCAACAAAGACTAATAGATAACAATAAACTGAAGATTATTATTGCACGAGTAAGCCAGCATACTTTACAGAGGAAGGCGAAACAATAAGAGTCGAAAAACCAAATTTGCTGGCATTTATGGTACTTTTCCCTCGTCTTTATAGTATTTCAATTTTGATACTTCAAGAAAACCTAACCAAACGAGTAGTCTGCGGATTATTTATGATTTGAGACTCAGATTAGTGAAAAAATTAAGTACATGAGATATAAATGATAACGTAATATTTTTCTATTTTAAATTAATATATTGATAAGACTTTAATAATTCAGTCGATTATTGTTCGGCAAATGATGTCTGTAACTGAAAAGCTTTATTTTGTTTAGTTTAAGAAGCAGTGTTATGATTTCAAAGTTAAATGAGGTTCAAGAACAAACAATGACGTTTTTTAACCTGTAACTGATACGATTTACATTGATAAGAGATGCGTGAAACCACGCTGTACCAGTTACGGGTTAAATGTTTATGTCGCCGAAGAAATTTGTTATGCCTACTGAGGTCCTTGAATTTCTACTGAGGTCTTATTATATATTTTTTTGATCGACTGCGAATCTCAAATCAGAAATCTACATAATCCTCTAGTTCAAAAGTTTTAGGATTTATTTTTAAGATGCGAGTATGCGAAGCTGCAATGCCAGTCACAGTGCAATGAGGTTTCTGCACCGACTTTCTTTGTGGTAACACTTAAACCTCGATTACGTTGGATGAATTCGCTCGCTATTTGTCAGTAAACAATGTCAAGCGCAAACGAACATGTAGCAACCAGTCCAATTACATTTTAGTTATAAAACTTGTAATCTCTTCAAGTCGCACCTTACCTACCACTTTGGGTACAACAAGAGCTCGAAAAAAAATGTTCTAAAAGACTAATTTTTTAGTTTAAATAAATATAACAGATTTTTGGCGGAACAAATCTACTTTACCGGACAACCTTATTTTTCAATTTTTATTATTATTATTTGTTAGTATTTTTTACGCTGATTACGGATATGTAAAAATTTTGCGCCGCTCGCACTTAGTTTGGAAGTTACAGAAGTTTAAAGTTTGTAGATATCGACTTACGCGCGCGCCCAGCGCCGCACGTCTACCCGCGGCCACCGGGTACATCATTCGACGATCGCCACTCTCGACATAGCAGGCGTTCGTTATACTAATAACCCTCCTCGTCTAATTGCCTCCCGCCGTCGTAATCTTCTTTTTTGTATTTAGTATAAGTACTATCAAATTAGTCAAATAGGTGAACTTAGTTTTAATTAAAAAAACTCATAATTAAATAAAGCAACTCCCTACGCCTGCTGGCTCCGGGAGCCGACTCGAGTCCCTTCAGGACTCTTCGTTAGGATGGGGGCTCACGCCCCCAAACGCCCAGAGGGAAAAATAGCTCACCTAAAGGGAGTAAAAAAAACTACCCTGGAAGCGGTCAGCGACCTAAAGACACAAAACCTAGCCCAGTGTTGCGCGCCCGCTATATCGAGAGTGGCGATCGTCGAATGATGTACCCGGTGGCCGCGGGCAGACGTGCGGCGCTATGCGCGCGCATAAGTCGATATCTGCAAACTTTAAACTTCTGTAACTTCCAAATTAAGTGCGAGCGGTACACAATTTTTACATATCCGTAATCAGCGTGAAAAATACTATCGAATCAAAAAAAAAAAAATCGAAAAAAAAAGGGTGTCTGGTTAAGTAGATTTATACCATTTTGGCTTCAGATTCATAATTAATGTAATAAACATTACTATTTTGCACAACAGTGTGTCCGATAGGGTAAATTTAGGGCCGCTCAAAATAGTCTTCTTAAAATAATTGAAATTGAGCTGTTCGATTCTGGACTGTGTAATTGCAATGTAGAATTAAAATAGATATATTTGGTGAAGTGAAAGGGAAGGTTTCAAATAGTATGAACGACCGAACCAGTCTGCCAATTGTTTTAAATAGCTGGTGTCGAAATTAGATACACAATTCAGACGAGGCTAATTTTGCAGGATTAATAGTAACGTTGATTATCGTTTTTAGTATTTTTTTTTTTTTTTGGATAAAAAAAAATTACTTATTACTGACCGTATTTATGATTCATCACCATCTGATCCTGGTTGAAATAATTGACAATTATCATGATTTACCTACAGAACGGTATACGATACACGGCTGTAGGTGTAATTACACAAAAATTAAACACAAAAAATAACCATATAGGCATAGACCGAGTATAATCTAATATAATAAATTAACAATTAAATAAAAATGTAGCGTTCGACGCAAACGACAGACGCTATGAAAATCACGTGTCCAAACAGCAACAACAATGTCAAATGAGAAAATAATGTACAAATGTTTCGTTTAATAGAACAACATGATTATATTTTCATTACTGGGAAGGAGAACAATAGCAAACGCGCAGTGTAGATTAGAACGAAAATACCACATGGATATTGTACTTGGAAAATGGGAAACACATTGACTTCGTGTCCAGAAATAACTCGATATTCTCGATAGCGTTGTTGTTGTTGTTGTTGTTTTGATCAAAACACATACTGTTGTAGTACACGATTACTATACACATTATTCGTAGTAGTACTATAAACGATATTAAATTTTTTTTTTCTACGGCATTGAGGACCGCGAGGGTAGCAAGCAAGTAGGTAGCAAGTAGGTAATAAGTAGGTACTAAGTAGTTTCAGTCGTCAAGTGTAATTTATCAATGATTTCGTTTTTTCAACATAAATAAAACGATATTTCTGCCACTTACCGGCCGACGCTACGTTGTCCTCGAGTTTCAATATCACCGTGGCTCCGGGTATTTGATGATGTGTTTGTGTCTGCATTTCGTCGGGGTTACCGCACAACGCCTCTGGACTCGAGCAAAATACTTTTGATACGACTGGGCGCAGAAACCGAAATCTCTAAATTCGGTATAATAATATAATTAACACGCGTTGTTACACCGTACGTTTCCCGTGGGATTTACAACAACCGATCCGTCGTCGGATCGAACCGCGATCGTGTGAGCGCCGCGTTTTCGGTGGGGTGAATCGAAAATTGAATGTGTTTTTTCACTCGAACCGTGTTCCTGCCGTTCCCTACTCCTCGCCACCCATTAGCGGATTCCCACTCAAATACACACACACACACACTGACTGTCGGTGGAGGGGACGGCCGACGGTATGCGCACGAACGGCGCGCGGGACGGGGGAGGGGCGAGGACGACCGGCAGCCGAGCGTGCGCGCCTCTTGGCCGCTGCTCGAGCTACGTCGTACAAAGCAAACCGCCCGACTGTGGCGTGAGCGGAGGGGGGGGTGGCAGAGGGGAAGAGGGTTACCGGGCGGCAGCCTCGCGCCGCAGCTGCTGCGGGACGCGGTTGACAAAAGAAAATAGGTAGGTGGCGGCGGCGGCGGCGAAGAGGAGTCCCCTCGACCCTCGTCGCGCCCTCCTTGTACCGTAATAGCCGGCAGCTGCGGGTGCGGGGGGTGCTGCCCGCTCGTACACGCACACGCGTCAGGGCGCCCGCGTGCGGTTTGCCAACGCTCGACAGTGTGACCGCGTCGAGAAAAAAAAATATCATATTTTATCTTTTCGATGACTCGCCACCATCCAAGTCGGAACCGTAATATATTAGTAGGACTATGAACTAAGAATAATATACTCTTCATGGGTGTAAAATGTCGGAACTCTGACCGTTTACACCGTATTTATGTGCCCGTTTACCAACATTTTTATGGGGCGCCAAAATGTCATCACAGCAGCGCGGAGTTAAGTTCAATGACAACGAAACCACTAGGTTTTTGGAGTTGCGTTCGATGGAAAAGGGTTAGACGTTCCTGGACTTGGACCAAAAGAAGTGATTGCGAAATTCAAAAATTTAAGAAGCTCTTACTTCTTACAAATAAAATAGCAGACAGTGCGACGTCAGAAAAAGGTACACATGACATCTATAAACCGAAAGTATTTTGGTTTGAGCAGATGAATTCGTTCATTCGACCGTTTGTTCAACAGCGACCTTCACGATCGAATCTGGTAACCTAATAATATATATATATATATATATATATATTGTATTAATATAAATAAATAATACTTCTGCTAAAAAAAAATGACAACTGCACGTTATGGATATAATAACATAAATTAAAATTAGCACATTACTTATTTATTCAATCAACAGTCATGGATTTTTTTTTTAGGAAAAATTACATTAACATTAATTGAATTTTTACAATTCGTTCGAAACAACAGTGATTTGGTTTTGACAGCTAGGGACATCTCTTTCATAATTGAAATAATCACGATATTTCTGCTTATCCCTTCTGCTATGTCTGATTCTCAAGGTTGTTGCTGGTAGTTTCTGTAATCCACTATTATTATTGACACCATGATCCGGGGAAAACCCACCACCGGGGTTTCCCAGTGAACAACACTGTTCATCCTCATAATCAATTAATCTGCCATCACATTGTATGCCAAAGGCGTTTTCCGCTACACGTCTTCCTCTTGTGACAAACGAACGTTGTAAATCGTTTCTGTTGGGGACATGTTAAATGGGTTAAATGTTAAATTGGGTTTCATTAAATATTTGTTTAATGGAAAAGGCCTAGGTAACGAAATTTGTTGCTTTTGCAAGGGAGTGTGTTTCGAGGGCGTTGTACAAAGAGCTATTTTGAAATAAACCCCCTCTGATCCTCTGATATCTGATCCTCTTCCTTTGTCTTCCACTTGTTTTCGCCTACATTGAAGTGTCAGTGTATTCTTATTATTCCGGTTGGCATATTTTAGCGTTTGTTATCATATTGGTGATATTTTGTTGTAATCTTATAGCTGTCGGTGGTTCTATGTCTCGTAACAGCTATGTATTTACCAAAATGATCACGAAATAGGATTTATGACAAGTATGTTATTGGCAAATTACAGAAAATATCAAATCGTGCATCACAAGTAGCTATGAACAAAGATGATGGTTAAGATCATTTTGGTAAATACATAGCTGTTACGAGACATAGAACCACCGACAGCTATAAGATTACAACAAAATATCACCAATATGATAACAAACGCTAAAATATGCCAACCGGAATAATAAGAATACACTGACACTTTAATGTCGGGAAAAACAAGTGGAAGACAATTAGGATCTAAGTAATTTTTCGGATAAAAACTACATGCCATTTTTTTTTTACAGATAAAAACTCACTATAATCTTTTTTGTAAAATGTAATCAATTTTATTCAAATTTCGAAACAAAATGTTTTGGGTACAAATTAATAAAGTTTTAAAGTACACCGTATTAGCATGGAACACGTTTAAGCCTTGGCCTCCCAAGCCCCAGCTCGATAACGACACAAAATAGCGTCACGAAAGTAGCGCGAACTAGCGGCTGTGTTTTTATATAATGTGTATACCTATTTATATATTACATTGTGTATAAAATGTCTTAAGGCGAATCTTTTAAGTTTTTAGATATGGATAATTGTTATACAATAATAATTATGTACGGTGCATCAAATACCTAAATTATTTGATTGTTGTATAAACGTGTTACTTACTTATTCACAGGCATATTTTATATAAAAGATAAATTGATGTACATTCATATTGTTTACATTTAACCATGAAACGTACAAATCCTAATATTGATATTTTTTTTTAATAGGTTACCAAATATTCATCCTAATAAATAAAAATAAATGTCTTTTTTTTCGTTTTCTTGTCATTGTGTCCCGTATGTGGCCAATCTTTTTTGATAAGATGGAACAAAAAAAAAAAAAGGAAAGAGGGATTCTATTATGGTTACTACACTAGGTAATACAGCTGTTGTTATTATGACTGTATTTAAATTTGTATATATTCATAGAAAACGTTATCTAAAATAACAAAAAAAAAAAAAACAAATTGTTTTTAACCAACCAAAGGTAAATTTTAAATTAGTAAGATTCTTGGTATGGGAAACCGCCTTAGATGGGATGTGAGGGGGAACTTACCGACCATTATTTTGCCCTCTATAAGTTACTTCTTACTCTATCAGTACTTACTCAACTAAGATGCAAGTGTGGTTTCTGGAAACTAAAATATGTTAAATCATATTAGAGTACCTTGTATTGGTACTATATAAGAAGTACCTTGTCACAAGATCAATCAGATAATTGTACGTAGAAAGGGTCGTTAAACGGTGTGGACTCGGATGAAATAATTTATGAGGTATTTATTAAATAAAACATATAGATTTTGAACAAAATTATTTGTATTATTGTTATAGTTTCTCATTATCTTCTAGCCTGTAAGTTTAATCGCTGTATCAAGCAAACTTTTTTCCTTTTCTGGTGGCCCCTTTAATATTTTCCTGTAACAAAAAAACTACCTATCCGCCTCTGCACATAAGCGGTCTTGAGACTTTTTATGTGGGGTAATAAGGTCCAAGGGGCATATTTTAGTGGCCTTATTTTTTTTTAATAATGAAAAAGCACATTTTTTCAGTCATATTATTTTAAACATTTGTTTTTTCTTATAATTCAGTGTCTCGAAAAAGTTATTAGAATTTGATTAGATTTAAGTTAAATTTAAAAATACACATAATTTGGTCGAGCCAATTCCATACGTATTTGATGAAATTTACCAATTTTTACTTTTGTAGTTATTTTACTAACGAAAACATTTTATGATTCTATTTTATCTGAGAACTGAAACGAGATAACAATAATTACATCATAGTAGAAAAATATATTTTTATCATAAATAAATAATAAGCATTATTTTTCTCTCTCTCTCAACAAAAAATAAATATTTACTTTATTACGCGTATGGTTATCGACCACAATGATTGAAAGATATTTTACAAAATTATAATAGTAACAATCGGATTTGTGATAAGAATTAACTACTCAAAGTTACTTTGTTGTCATGAAAAATAAATTATTATGTCAATGTTAACGTTAGAAAAATAAAATGATTTTATACTAACATAAATAACTTGTTTTTTGAAGTTATCGAAAAAAGTAATAATTTTACTCAATAATTACTAGCTTTGTTTATACATACAAAGTTATTAACACTTTCACCTTTATTTAAGTTAAAAAAAACTGTACTTTATGTACATGGAATTTTACATTGAAACTCCCTATGTACAAAAATCACAAAACCTATTTTTATTTAAGACCTAAAAGATATTATGTGTACAGTACATTTCAAACATTTTAAAATTAATATTTCGGAATTTTATTTGATTCTTTTTTTAACACAAAGTAATTTCAATTAAAGTTTAATTTTGTTTTGGAAAATTGAAACTGTACAGAGTTCATCAAAAACACAATAATCTAAAAATCATTATATTAAATATTACAGGAAATAAATAAAAACAAATATTGTCAAACGGTAGAAAATTTCAAATACAAATTTGGAATTAATAAATTAACCGTAATTATTTGAAACAATAATTTTTTAAATTGATTATTGTATACAAATTAAAAAACCAAAAGTAAAAATATGATAATTGATATTTATATTTTTACTATTACTTTGAACAATGTGTGAAGCGAAAGAAAAAAAAAATAACTTAATTATATTAAATGACTATAATTAGTTACGAAAAGGAATATTTATCAATCTGTACCAATAACGATAAAAAATTAAAAATACAATTAACCTTATAATTTAACGAAATCAACATTGATGGTTTTTCCTATGTTGTTGTGACGTTCGCCCGCTTTCGAGTTCACTTGGTTTTTGATCACTTGGCTTTTCAGTATCATGATATGAGTGTATTTACTATATTGTTGGGCCATGGCCAAAGCTTTTTCAAAAGTCTCGGCCCTAGGATTCGAGTGCACCGCGTAAAGAATCTAAAATGCACATAAATTGCAAAGACTCAACAAAATATGTAAAAAAAATTAACATATACACAATACACAATTTTTTATTTAAATAAAATCAAAAATTCGACGTCGGTAGTTATTATCGACAAGTTTTTCAAGAGTTATTTCTATTTGCCATCAAAACAAAAAATAATTATATAATGTATTAAAAGTGAAAAAAAAAACTCACCTTATTTATCGAATCGATTCGAGCTTTAATGTGTCCGTCCAATATGAGTTCCATGAGTTCGTTTTCTAGATCGGGCAACGAAGTGTTGAAACACATTGCCATTTTTTTCAAACAAGCCGTATCGTACGGGCTAAAACAAACACATAACATACCAATAAGACCGATTCTATGTCTGCTTTTAAAACTATTATTAAACAATTAACCTAAAATATTGAATCATCGCTTTGCTTCTGATGTTGGAAAAGAGTGTATTTATGTGTGATCCTATATACATGTCGAGGAGCAATGTGGGCTAAAATTAAAAAAAAAAAAAGGTTATGAGAAAATTTAACTAAAAATATTCATTTAACTAATATTTTAAGTACAGTACAATTATAAATAAATTAGTATTACAATATGGCAAATGAATATGATCCATACCTTAATTTTATTAAGCGTTCTCAAACAGATTTCGTATTTAGATTCGTAAAACTTAAAAATGGCATCACGTATTTCGGGTTCAAGCTCAAGAAATAGTTTGAAGACGCTAAAAACAAAAAAAAAAGTGTGTGTAAAACATAGTAACAAAAAACAAGACGCATTTCTTAATATCGTAATCCGACTATAAAACGTACATATTAAAAAGGACTTGAAAACTACTTGATTTTATCAATACATTTTGTTGTTAACGTTGATTAAAATAATATATTTTTGAAATTTTTTCTTATAAAACTAATGTTAATTTAATCTTAAATTAGTTTTAAAATTAAAAATTTGTAAAATTCTAGACTTATTAATTTTACTTAAAACGAACAATTTAAAATGTTTTTATAAAAGTAATTAATTTTTTTAAACTAAAAATTATGAAACGAAATAGCCTTGAAATATGTTAAATTGTCGATATTGTGTCTACTCAAATCTTAAAGAAAATCAAATAAAATACATCAAGAAAAACACAATTTGTATATTATTTATTTTACGTAATTTGTACATATTGTAAGCAGAATTGGGCATTACTAGAATAGTTTTTTATCTAAATCAAGCGATATATACAAAATTCTCTTTAACATATTTTTTCTGATACAAATTTAAAGAAAAAAAACACTAATAAGTAGGTATTGAAATAATTATTCTGACTCAACTATTGTCCTGGCATTGCTTACTTGTTAGAAATTACGGAAGTCTGTAGTTCGGATCGACTGAACGTGGCCAGAGCACAGAGTCCACCGTAAACAGCCACGTCGTTTGGTGTTAATACTTCACAATTGTAGTCCCAATTGTCCAAATTGGCCTGCAAGAAATTTTGAGCCGCTACTTTGTACTTACGACCGGCCAATTCGGCCAGGCCCGTCATGCATTTTAGCGTTGAACTGTATGTAGTCTGCAGATCGGAGTTCTAAACACATTGTCGTTAATAATAACGCTATAATTATTCGACGCCATAACAAGAGTAGGCGAACAACTTACTTCGGTGTAATCCGGAGTCGATTCCGCTTTGATGATGTAATTCGCCACGTGCGACCAGTTTTGTAAATATATTCCAACCTGATATAAAAATTTAAAATATAATTGAATACATACATACAACATTTTGTATTTTAACATAATAATTTTTATAGGTAAGGTAAATTGAAGTTTTATATTAAAAAATTAGTGTTTCGACAATTTCTCGGGTAAGGGCTTATTACGCTACAATAATAAGTAGTTTTTTTTGCCGTTTTACATACTTTAATGATATTAAGGCACATGGAAATGACGTGAGAAGAACTGGTACAATAATCGCGAGCCTTTGAATAGCTCTTGGTGGCTTCGATCAGGTCTCCGCAATTGACGTAATGGTCGCCGATTTCATTGTGACCTCGTCGTATGCTTTCCTTGATCGAATTGCTCTTGTAGTTCTTCAGATCTCCGTCGAGTTTTTCCAGTTTCATTGCGGCTTTCTGGGTGGTGGTTTCTACCCAACTAGAACTGAAAGCAATGATGGGATCTGCAGAGTTAACGCTAGTAACGTCTGGTACAATCCTGTAAATGTTCAGATGAAAAAATACAATCATAAAATATTTCCATTAATAAATACTATATTAATAATAATATACACAGCGATTTTTATTTATCGAAGACTTGAGCAATTTTTTTTCCCAAAATAACAAAAAATGATTTATTTCAAATACATATTTTTTATTTAGCACATCAAATAATTAATCATTTGTAACTTGGAAGTCCATTTTAAGTGGTTACCGGCTAACCGTGATTAAGATCACTGGCGGGCTTAAGTGTCTTAATATGTAAAATTAGTCATTATATCTTGGGAGTTGGATTGCTAAAATTTAAAATAAGCAATAATAAATTACACGCTAATAAATATTTTAATTAACCTGTATAAGAACCTCGGTAAGAACTGTACGTCGTAAGTGCTGTCATTGCGATTTTAACTATTTAAATTTGTCATTAAATTTTATTAATAGCTATGAGCTTTATGAACAAAACAATGCAGTAAATTAAGCTTTGTTCAAAATTTTACAAGTAATTCAGACCAACTAAATCTGAATTTAAAAACAAACCCACGTGGAGGTAAACTACATTTACTTATGCCAATTTTATTTTTTTCATTTTTTATCTTATAAAGTACCGTCTGACCTGTAAACTCTGTATATTTTTAGCTGTTTAGGAGATATCGTGGATCCAGACACAACAAACATTATACACAACATTGTAAAACTAAAATCTTTTCAACTTTAACATCAAAGCAAAAATTTTAATCAAAAAAAAAAAAAGGGTGCTCGATAAAGAAAATGTATACCCAATTTTTTTTCTAGTAAATGCGTGTATTTACGTTAAACGGATCACATTACTTACCCAACACTCAGCTGCAGTCTTTGATGGAGCACTTGATACAAATTAGCGTTCATTGTGGTAACGACGTGTGCGATGGCCAAACGCAAAGCTTCGGTACACATTTTCGGACAGTGATCGGCGATGTACATTAATCTGTAGATGCGCGCCAAACCGTTGTAATTGTTTGAGTACGCTTCGAGATCCTGTCGAGTGCACACGAATCAATGGAGTGAGTGTACGTAAGCTAAGAGGAAACTGGACAAAATTTAAATCAACACTTACAAAAGAATCGACTTCCACTTCGTATAGTTCTTCTTCGTTGTTGTCGTTTTCTTCGGGAGGAGCGTCCACTTGCATCGGGTCTATGACTCCGGCCTGTGAACTCCGCATAGCTCGCTGGAAATATGTCAAAACCGTTTAGCAGCTTCTTTTAATATTTAACAAATTATTTTAATTACAACCGCCGTAGGACTTTGGTCAAAACCTAAAGAGTTTAACTTACGTGCAACGATCGCAGCGATGACAACGACATGTTATCGATAGTGTCCAGTGACCAGTTCTGATGCGGGATTATAACATAGACAAGTAGGTGTACACTATAAAGTATACTGGATTATAATTAATAATATGATACAATAGGTACAACACGAAGTGTGTCGAGCAATGTTGATTGTTGAATGTAAATTGTAAAACATTCGCCGGATAGTGGAAATTGATAACGCGGTAAACAAACGATATTCGCCGTGCGAGAGAGATACCGGGTTGTGGTGGTCCAAAGACGTTGTAACTCAATAGCAACGTCTTTGGAATTTTATTCTAAAATAATTTACCGCCAAAAAGTTCAACATATTATATTATTTCAAAACCATACTGATCCGACCTTGAAAACGTTTTCTTCCACTGAACGGCCAAACTCGCACCGCCCATTTTTATGGAGTAAAGTACAGGCAATTTTTTACAAAATCTTAATTTGAAGGTTAAACTGTGATGTGTAATTATTAGTTCAATAACTAGGACTCTATTTTGGTAGTTAATTTATTTTTTGGACTATCACAGCATCCTCTTAAGCGATTTAAAAATGTTTGTTTCATCTCAACTTGTTTAAGCAGACTAAAAATAACTCGCTTGATTTTGGATTTAGAGTAAAAGCACCCATTATAAAATTAAAAGAGAACAATATTTCCGAAGGCAAGACGGTGCATTTTTTTCATTATTCTAAGTATAACGCTCAATACATAGTTCAGAAATAACGACTATTTTAACATTTTTAAATGACTGTAACTTTCCAAAAAATTAATTTTTTTAAAAAAACGTACCGTATTGCCTTCCGTAGTATTGTTTTCTTTTAATTGTATAATGGGTGCTTTTACTCTAAAACCAAAATTAAGCAAGTTATTTTCAGTCTGCTCAAACATGTTTTTACCACTGAAAATCACCGGTGCGACGCCTTCTTAATATTTTTGGAATCAGTATTTAAAAAATTATAATTGTTATCTTTTTCTTAGAATAACGGATTTGTGGGTTAGGTGTAGAAGGTATTGTTTATTTATTTGTGTCTCAGCCCACGGTATCTAGTACGCCGTTGAACCGATTTTCACACTACTAGTACTACTTTTTTGGGCCAAAAAAAAGTTTACCCCGTTCTCTTCAAAACCGAGAAAATCTACTTAGTTTTCAACTTATAATACAACTTATTTTACTGGACTTAATGTCGTAACTAAATCAACCATTTTACTTCTTAACGTAGAAATTGTTTCCACTTGTATTTTATGCTCACTGTTTACTAAGAATGCGACCATAAAAACGTTTAATTTTCCAATAAAGTTATTCTTGTAATTTCAAAGTTTTATGAGTACATTTTTACAATTAGGTACCTAGGTATAATAATTCATAACGTTGTGTTATAGACTAGAGCTGAAAACCATTGTATTTTGCATGTTTTTTTTTTTAAAGTTTTGTAAATTAAAAAAAAACTTTCTGGTAATAAACTACAAATAAAAGTATACCTTTGTTTTTATTAGACAATATTTAGGAGATGTTATATTACATATAATATATGCATTGCTTAAAGAGTTATTTTTTAGATTGCTTAGATAAAAATGTGGTCAATATTATTTTAACAATATTAGTTTAGTTAAATTATTTTTCTTGTATTCGTTAAAAAATGTGTGAATAAATTGACTACTATGATGGCTAATTTGTTAAAATATGGTATAAAGTAGCAATGTCGTTTTCATATTACTTATTACTTGCGTACTTATTGATTTTGTTAAGAATTGTATTAGACATAAGTGTTTTTATGATTGAAATTTCTATTTGAAATCAAATTAACATCAATAAACAGATATTTATTATAATTAACTGGTAAATTTGTACACCGTTGTAGTATATTATAATACATAATATCTATACATGTATACATATATATATATATATATTTTTAAGTAATCATTGCCTTGCAGGCAAAATAAAGCTATATAATTGTAAAGGCAATGTTACAACATGAAAATAGTAAAAAAAAAAAATTTATTTTTTTATGGTATATTATACAAAATGATTTTACACAAACAAAACAGAAATTAGAATTTATATTCATCTGCTATGAACAATATAGATTTAAAAAGTCAACTCGATCACGGCTACTAGTAATAATCATAAACATTATTAGTAATAATATAATCTAATTATAAATTTAGTGGTAAAAGAAGCATGAGACGAAAAAAATAAATTTTCAATCAAACAAATTCAATTATGTGTGTATTTTTTTTTTTATACATAAAAAATAATTTTAATGTACTTTTTGCTTGACAACATATTCTCTTTGGAAATATGCTTATTATATCAATATCTATAGGCATTATAATTTATACATAATATATAACATGTGTCAATTAAGTAGACTTCTCTACGATGGCAAAATGTTACATAACAATAAAATGGTGTCATCCTAAAATTTACATTTAGTATATATTAAAAAAAATAATAACACAACATATAATTACATGTTTGATGAGTCGTCAATACAATAATTTACTTGCTAAACTAATAATAATATAGTATTAATAATCATGTTAAAGATTAATACCTCCTACTCAATAGAACAGTTTATTGTAATAATTGCCTTTTTAAATTGAGCTTTGCGCAATTTAATGAAACATTTGCTACATAATATAGTAGTGCATACTAATATTTTGTAACTATAATTTAAACAAATATTTTTAATAAAACATGTAAAATGTAACACTAATACTTCTCAAGTGTTTCATAAATAGATATATATATATAAATTATTATTTAACGTGGTTCATAAATCTGATCACATTTCTATAACTCTATCGTAGTGAGATAAATTTTAAAATTTAAATAAATTTATCATTTAATGAAAACATTTAAATATTATGTAAATATAAATTTATTCTTATTGAAAACAAAATAAATTCCATTAAAATTTTAAATTTAACATTTTAAAACTAATTTAAATGACAATTTAACAAAATAATTTCATTGAATTTTTAAACGGGATAATTATTGTAGCCTTAGAATGAAAAAGTTTTGACGGATTCAAAAATAGTACGATTTTAAACTTATTAATAATTTATTACACATGATAATCATTTATCCAAATTTTTTTTATTGGATCGTTTAAAAGTCTTGATAGTTTTTTTTTGTATACTAATTATAAAAAGTGGACTTCTAGCACAGAGTCTGTTATCTACGTCCTTTGGCATCCACTTTGATTTCGATTACAGTTGGAATAAACACCTAAAAAATTGGGGGGGGGGGGAGATTGTTTTGCAATAGCCAGTAGACATAAGTACAATTTAGATTTTTTAAACTTGGCAACTGCAGGTGATGACCAGTGCAAAAACCAAATAGCTCATTGTGACCATATTGTACCATGGTATAGAAACGACTGACCTGGTTAGTGGTTAGGTAACTTAAGGAATCACGATGAAAACAAAGACAAATGTTCATTTTCAATTAGAAAAAATTAAAAAAAAAAAAAAATGTCTACACAGAACCGTTTTACAGTGAAATAATTGTAATTATTGTACTTTTTCTAACAGATGACTAGAGAAATTATCAATCATGATTTGCAACGTATGCAGTTTACAAAGGTGCACTTTATTTTCAAATCTATGTTTTTGAACGGCACGATGAAGCCTGGAGGGGAATTGTAGGGTAACCAAAATAAGGCGAAGATTAAGTAAAAATTTGAATTTCTTTTCAACAAATTAAAAAAACAATTATTTTTAAGTAAAATAAAAAAAAAATCCTGATTAAACCTAGACCACAACAGAACATATTATTCATTCTCAGTTATATAATGTTACTATAATAATGATACTGTGCTGTTGATGTATGATAGCAAAATTTATGAAAAACAATGTGTTAATATTATGAAATAATATTATCAGCGTATAAACAGATTAAATTATGTACTATGATAAACGCGTGTTGAAGTATTTAGTCTTTTAACTTGTTTATTTAATAAACAATGTTGTATTGATCTATAACTTGATATATTATCACATTTTCCAAAAACGGTTATACATCTATGTAAATATTTTTCGTTCCACCGTGTCTATGCACATGAATTGTCTCTCTCGTTGAACTAAATACACTCGAGTACAAATCAAAATAGGGGTACCTACTGCACAGATAGGTCTATTAACTATTTCGATAGATCAATTTATAATATAAAATATATTCGATGTGATTTTATGCAATGACATTTCGGCCATCGAATCGATGTGTATAATTCCTGCAGAAGATATCATGTAGATTTAAGTTTCCGGCGCCTGCGAGCCCAATAGTTTTTTGGCACGTTAAATGATCTCCTTGCAGTGTGTTTTCCAAACACAGCCGATTGGCTAGACAACGAGGTGGTGTCGTTTTCACTATTAGAACCCTGTTGATCCTCCAGTTTGGAATCCATTCTGAAAACAAAAAACAAACCCCATGACACTATTAAACTATTTTAATTGAATCGTCACAGGAAGAATCTACTTGCGAGATACCTATTGATTTGTTTTGAGTTATCGAATCGTTACTATTGGGGGTTCTTAATATGTATTATTTGTTATTGGGTCGATAAATAAAAAATAAGTACAAATTCATCTTGCTAAGAGAGCATAGTGTAATTTTAATACAGGGTACTCATTTTGGGCAAGGTACTAATTTTCTCGGAAAATATGAACGTTTAAAAAAAAAAAATAATTTCCTATACTTTTAGGTACACGTTGTACTACATTTTTCAATACTGTGAAAATTTGTATCTCCGACCCTTATACAAAAAAAAAAAAAGGATAGGATATCACTTTTTTCAAATGGCGACATTTGTTTTAAATTCCATAAATATGTAGACAACAATTTAAAACAAATTTTATTGTTTGAATTTTTATCCATTTGTTCGCTTGTTATGACTTTGTAAAGATTGGAATTTTTATCTATATTTCTTAATATTTTCATTCGGTTCAACAAAGACAAGTAGTTTTATTACACCAGTCATCACATAAAATAATAATAATAGTAGATATTATCAACCATTATCTCAAAACATTTGATTGTGTTTGGTTATCGGTGTACTCGCCTATCGGACAATGCGAACATAAATAAGAATTTTATGGGCTAGCGGTCTTTGGGACACCGAATAAACATGACAATATTTAGGAGAAAAAGGAATATCTTTCCAAAGTCATAGCTAACGAACAGATGGATGAAAATTAAAAATTCAAACGATAACATATTTAAAAAAAATTTTCCTACAAATTTATGGAATTAAAATCATACGTTTTTGTTTGAAAAAGTGAATCTGCACCCTTTTTATCGTATAAGGGATAGAGATAAAACATTTTCAAAGGATAGAAAAATATAGTACAAAGTGTATCTAAAAAAATAGGAAAAAAATAATATTCAAAATATTAATATTTTTGGAGAAAACTAGTGTCTTACCCAAAATGAATCACTCTGTTTATATTTAAACAATAAGGTCATTGATTTTGACTCCAAGTTGGTTCCCTGCAAATATGTTCCAAATAAGAAAAAAACAAAGTTACTATTACTTTTTTGGGATTTTATTTAAACACTTTCGTTTCCTTGTTTGAGCGGACATTTTTTTAGTTTATTAAAAAATATACCCATTAATTATCATTTTAATTACTATCAAGAATATGATAATAAAAAGTGATATTTCACGTGTAATACATTGAATTCACAGTCTGGAAAAACGGTACGAAGGACATCTACATTTATACTCGAGTATAACAGAATAATTATGAATTATGTCTTTTGATCATCTGATTTTCTTATCGATAATCTATTTTTAGTTATCCAGGAATGATCGATTTCTCCTTATTACCATCCAGAGGAGAATCTAGGAAGCTTCACTTCAAATATATATATATATGTATAAGCTTGCCCTCTCTCCTTGTTATATCCGCACCATTCCATCTTCACCTTAAGTCACCCTCTCCTTTATGTCACACAAATTTTCGACAAATCCCCAACCATAAAAGTTAAAATATATTATGATCATAACAAAACTCCTATCCTGGATTTTTACGGACGGACGCCCCTGCTTATATATGGACCATATTACATATGAAGGGCACAGGGGAAGAAGGGTAGTAGTCCACGTATGAAAATTTTAGAGTATAGCCAAAATAAAGTTCGTGAATTAATCTCTCCGTCTCACATAAGAACATGAAAAATCACATTAAGTGTTATTCTAATAAAAAATGTATTTATTTAAACAATCTATTGGCATAAATAAAAAAAATTAATGCCATATATTGAAAAAAAAACTATTTGACAGCAATTTTATTTTTTTGAAATGGACTACTACCCTTCTTCCCTTGTGCCATTCATATTGTTGTTACACTCACAACGAACGGTACTTGACGACTCTTATTTGTTCTTCCAATTCGGTAATTTTTTCGTTGAGCTTGACGTTTTGAGTGTAGTACTCGGACACAAGATTCGACAGCCGAGACGTGACGTCTTTCATGGTGCTATCTGAAAACGCATCAAACAGTTATAATTAATATCGTTAAAGGATGTAGCCAAAGCGTGATTCGCGCACATATAGGATGCGGTTAGCTCGATCGATTAACATACTATTATTATTAATATTGTAAATGATTAATGATTAATGATCAAGTTGGTATTTTGTACCATTGTGTTAGTCTCGAGCTTTGTTATACGGTGTGAGACCGAAGCGTGTTAGCATCAGCATCATTATTAGGTATTATTATTATTTTTTGTTGAAGCCACATTCGGTATAAAAAAAAAAATTCGGTCATCACCACTAGATCTTGATCATTCGGACTACCCGTACACGACCGACGGTAGACTTCTACGGCGTGCAATGTTCCGCAGTTATACAGGGTGATTCTCTAACTACGAACCAGTCAATATACTATATTTTATTTTCTATACATCTTTCAATTATTAGCTAGCTCAAATTTCATGTATTTTTCAACTATTTAACCCCGCCTTTTATGTGTTATAGCCCTATGAACTTGAGATTTTCAAACGGTTAAGTATATATTATTATCTCGACTTTTTAAATCAGACATTTTTTTCTGAATATATTGAATGGTTGATAACCAGCTTTCGATAATTACGTTTATATAAGTCTAAAATTTAGGACGGAAAGTAGAGAGCTTAGAGTAATGCCCGCAGATTAAACAAGTTCTACACCTTAACCCTACATTTTAAAATTAAATAACTTTAAAAGTAATTATCTAAAACTGGTTATCGATCAGTCAAAGTTTTCAGCAAATTATTCTTAATTTAAAACGACAATAAAATATTAAACGTAATATTACGTTACCATTTAAGTTTTAATAGTTGTTAGAGCTCTGGAAAATACTAAAAATTAAAATACTTATACTGTGTTGCAAAAATAAATTAATAAATTTAATAGTTCATTAAAATTATATGGACCAATCACGGGCCACTAAATTATGTTTAAGCGTCTATTGGTTCATTAAACGTTTATGCAACCTGGTATTGGTGATTTGATAAAATTGTAAAATAACACGAAAGAAAATGTTTTGAAAAAAATAAAAACACTAGTAAAATTGCAATTATTTCAAAATAATATATTGAGTGTCTAGAGGGCAAACTCCTGTCTGTGTAAATTAATAAAAAAAAAAATAATTTTCAAAAGTCATCAGAATATTTTCTGAGCTATTGACTGGTTCGCAGTTAGTGTGTCACGTTGTGTTGTGTTAACATGGATATGTTTTATCGTTGGAGATCATTCCAAAATTCGCACGGCACGATTTCGCGTTATAGGATTTTTAAAATTTGAGTACCAGGGTACTATAGGTAAAGCCTCAGTGCTATAAGACATACGTCTACGTTGCCGCACCGGGTGGCTGACCAGCGGTAAAGCCAAAAACATATCCATGATTCAATTTTTTCCTGTGGAGTGGAGAAGTTAGCTAGGGTTTTTGTTTCACCACCACCCTCTTTGTTTTCCGCCCCGGAGCCGAAATTTCCCATGCTCAAGGACCCGTCCTTAATGACGTACAAACTTGGGTGAACTGTTTCCTATCCGGCCTGATCATCACGGTTGCGAGTTTGGTTTTCCGTTTGGCCGGTTTCATCTGTTGATCCAAGGATGTCCTACCGGTCTGCCGGTCTGTGGCCATTTTTATGTATCCCTCAATGCCTCGGTAATCCGATACCGCGTCGATATCTGTACACAGATCACTGTTGAGGCTTGTTTGCGGGGGAGGCCCGATGGACATCTGCCTCCCCTACGCACTCTGCCCCCCCCCGGCAAGATTTCAGCCAAAACGAAAAATAATTTGATAAAAAAAACCGACAAAAGCCGTTGTTTTTACAATACAGTTGTCAAATTATACTGGGAATAGTAGAAAAAAGGAATAATTATTACTTAAAAGAAGATCGTTCGGTATTCAGTGACGATGTTTAAGCAGATACTATGGAAATTAAAAAAAAAAAAAAAAAAGTTGAGGTTTTTATATAAGTCAGCTGCTGCCGAGTTTAAACATTAAAGTCTGAACGATTTTCAAGTTCTTACACGGAATTTCAATTAAAATATATACCATCATTTTTAGTTGTTATACCAAATTCCGGTTGCACTAATTATATCCCAGTACTATTAGTGTCTTTACCAATCAAAACGGGTATTATATTTCTTCTCAATTGTTTTAATTTATCTTATAAATGATCTTCATTGGGAATGATATTTTTCGTTATTGTAACATAATGCTATTAAACAGTGTCTAATTAAGAAATTGACTTAAAAATATTATTTCGCGTTTGCTTCTTCTTATTTTTGCCGCAGTATAACTTAAATAAACTACTAAACGCAAACTTGAAACCAATACATATTGTTGACATTGTGAGATAAATATTGTATACAAGACTATTCAAATGTCATGGTATAGTAATTTTTTTTTTTCAACAAACTGGTAACGTAAGATTTTATTTGAAACTTTTTTAGCTAAAACAATTTGTATCGTAGAAAAAATACTGTACTATAAAATATGAATAACCCTGTATATATTTTACATTATTTTTTTATCATTTCATACCTAGTCTGGATACTGCTTCGTTAATGGTCTCATTTTGAGTCTGAGCCTGCAGGAACGCGTCCTCGTCTAACAACCTATCCTTGCGGAGTAGCTGACACCCACGTTGCATTAGGCTGTGTCTCGCTTCAGGATAGTCTCTTAGAGTTTCCCAAAGATCTCTTTTGGATAGACAAAACAAATCTGAATACCCTAAGCTCCGGACGTTGGCTGTCCGGCGGTTTCCAGTCTTATTGCCGGCTATCTCCAGTACACTGACCTAAAGTAGAAAAATTACATTAACATTTATTTTTAGGATTAAATTACAACATTTTTTTATATCATATGGTTCATGACTAACTAAAAAACATGTAAACGAAATGGCGGCAGAAAATAATAGTGAAAGAGAAAAGCTAACTTACAAAAAGCATAGAAAAGCTGAACTAGTAGTAAGATAGAAGTAGAGCTGTACACGATAACCAGAAACAAAGTAAGGAGGAAAATAAGATAGAGGTGGCCAATAGTTTAGTGCGAGAAAATGCCAAATAAAATAATAATAATAAAGTAGTAAAATAAAATAGTAGTATTAAAAGAGATTGAATTAGTATACCATATAAAATGTAATACTAATTTCAATAACGGGTCAAAATTAAGTAACACCAAATCCCATGGGGTTTAAAATCGAACCAAGAACAGTAATGTAGCAATTGTGTATGTAGTTGGCTAAGGAAAGTGATATACCTTACTTTCTGACCCATACATTAATCTTTAAGTGTTTTCTTAACATTTAACTTGCATCAAATAAACGTTTGGATTTATCATCTGAACGTTATATTATGTAATTTTCATATTTTTTTAGAGCAAATTTGTGCTAGATTTTTAGAGAAATTTCATTGTAACGTTGTGCTGACCTTTAATAACTTAAAATATAAATAAAAAAGTGCATACCTAAATGTTTAATGTAATGCGTGATAACAGTTTCATACACGATTGTACAAAACTGGCCTTTCGATAAAGCCCAAATCACTGTTGTTTATTTCTATTTACAACCAAACATATCTCGTGTCCGTGTATTTGGAAATGAAACGCTCGTTTGGAAGTAAACAGCGCATAATTGAGCTTAAGTATCAAAATATTAAATAATTGTTTTACATTTCACTGGCTTGCTTTGCGGTCATTGCGTGTTAGCATCTGTGCATTGCAAATGTATAGAGTACTGTTAAACTACAGCAAAAACCGTTAGAGGCTTCTGTTTAATTGGAACCATTTGCGCGCACTAATTTCACTCAGTGCACAGTAGTCTGCCACTAAGCACATTCAGAGCAACGTACAACTTACTCAGGCGTAACACTATGCTAAAGCTTTGTTATGCAGTGTTAAATCATATTAGTATAGATAGACAGCTTCTGGGTAGGTACGCATATACAGGGTGATTCATTACGGATTAGACACTCATATTCTTGAAAGCTTTAAAAAAAAAACAACACTACAATGTTGCAATTTTTAAAAAATATATTGTGTGTCTTGTTCTTAATGAATGACCCTGTATTAAAAAAAATTAATAATAATTAGTAGTGATGTTCTTTTGCATTATTATTTACAATAAAAAAAAAAAATAAACGACAACTAATTAATATACCTACATCTTTCCACAAGAAAATTAATATTAGTTTAATTAAGAATACCATATTTTTACAACGTCGAATTCGATTTCATAATCGTTTGTATTTTTTTTTTCAAGTTTTATTATGTATTACAGAAATTTAAAAAAAAAGATTACTACCTCTCCGAAAACACTTCCTGCGCTTAACGTGGCTATTTCGGTTTTTTGGTCGTCGGCGACAACGCTGAGAATACCTCTCTTGACAATGTACATTTCTTTGCCCACGTCACCTTTGCGACAAATGTAGTCACCTGGGCTGAACACCTAATGAACATTTGCGATTCAAAATGTACAGTTTCCGTGTGTATCTAATTTTAGAAATTGGGGGAAAAAAAATGCACACCACATACCTGAAGTCTTAGTTTGAGCACAAGTTCTTCTAGTAAACCCGGTTCGCAGTCCTGGAATATCTCGACTTTCTTTAACGTGTCGAGATGCACGTGGATGGCTATTTCGGCCTTTAGTTTGTCAGGTAACGCCGCCAATACCCGTTCCTCGTCGAGAGCCTAATTTTGTTAAAAACAGAACATAAACGCTTTTATTTAGCTCACAAGTTATAAACGTTACATCGAATAGATTACAAAAAAAAAAAAAATTATACAAAATATATGCTTTTCAGCGTAACTTTAAGGTACATAGATTTCAGTATAATAATGTCTAAAGAAAATAATAAATATTTATAAAATCATTTAACATCCGTTATAAGGTCACGAGTCCTACAATAACTAAACGGATCGATAAACAAAACGCTTGTAAATCTGTTAAATCCCTATGAACCATCCTCTGTAAAATTATTGATTAATGATGTACCAATACACTAACACAATAGAGATTTTAAACCCAGGATTTCTTTGTTCTAGTGTTCGAATTTTAACTCAGGATTTTTTATTTTATACTTGTATTCATCACAGAAAACGTTACTTGTACAGACAGACCTTGTACACGGAAGTTGTATCGGCTGTATGCCAAATTGTATAAATGCCAATTTCATTATAGTAAATAATTACACTTTGCAAAATAATACAACATTTTGAAATAATAATTAAAAGTCAGTATTATGTTTATGTTATCAATCTAACTCGGGTGTATTATATTGACAAACGAATTGCCATAATTGCCAATAATCGCAAATTGGGTAATATGAAATTTCTTTACATACTTTTTCCATCTAATTTTTCAATTACAAAATGCTAATTTTAATTGTTTTTTTTTTCATATTTTAAAGAAACTTAAGTATATTAAGCAACTTTTTTATTTTTAGTTTTTTACAGTCACGTTTTTTTTTTACTTAAAATTTTTATAATTACTTTAAATTTTTTTTATACTTTTTATTTACACACCAAAATACCAATTGCATACCTTATACGGGTTCTGATTCATTCACACGCAAAATAAACCAAGGACTAACAAGCCAAATCGAAAAACCGTTGTTGCAAAACCAACAAATGTGTCTTCCATTTCAATGAAGTCAATAATTGTATTGGGTTTTTGAAGAAAACCCTGTTTAAAATGTCTAAGGGAAATTCTTTATTCTAATTAAATAGGTTTGTTCATTGAATATACAACTTATTTGAACAAGCAATAAGGATAAGAGTATAATATAATAATTTTTACATCTAAATATGTAATATAAAGAATATGATATAATAATACAATATAATATAAAAAGAAAATATAAAGATGTCCGTATTTTAATGTCAAAAAAGAAATGGTACTTTTTTACAGCTATTATTCCACGAGACATGTTACAATTTATATATGAAGCAATCAGCTGGTAATCTGTGGAGCCCAAGTCCGACAAGGATTTTCTGGTTTTTCGTTGGGGTTAAGTTCTATGTAAAAAGTAAAAACCACTACTGTATCAAACTCTTAATAATATTTTGTAGAATATAACCAAGTGGGCTATATGGCTACTTGAAAACTAAGAGAAAATAATGAAATACTGAAAATATAAATTTGATTTTTTGGTACATATTTATCCACTTAATAATCGTGTTTACTTTGTTTCAAAATTCCATTGCAGAGCATTCATTAGAAAAATATATAATAATATGTATATAAACTTTTAAATATAATTAATAAATATTTGGATAATTAGCTATTGTCATTTTTATATTGACAATGAAGTTCGTTTGAAAGTTGATTAAATTATAAGTGTTCGTTGTACGTTAATTGAAATTGCATAGTAAGTGCTTCAAATTTCTTAGTATTCAATGTTAAACGATACTATAATGATTTTCTTTGAAACAATAATGCTATTTCTGTCAGTGTTGCCTGTGTTTAAATAGAGAATGCAAACAATTTAATAAACATGAGAGAACAGATGTTGTATTCTTTAAAATTCAGTAACTGGAGACATTAGTAAGTACCTATATTAAAGTAGAATTATATTTTAAATCAGGTTAAGTATATTTCAAACGTATAATAGACAATTCCATCTAACAGTTTGATAAATTTGGGTAGTTTCAGATGAAATCCAAACAAGAATTTTCCATAAACGTATAAAACTGCGTGCCATTATTCGATCTGTACACATCTTAAAGTTTATTTTTTTCGCAAGAAAACACATTTGAACAGTTAAAAAAAACAACCAGTTAAGAAATACTCTGCGCTTACGGGTCGTTAAAAACGGTCTGGGTTTGTATATATTTATATAATAATAATGATGTAAAATATAATATATATTTTTTTAAGGTAAGTTTTTATACAGTAAAAGCAGTATTATGTTAACTATAATAATATGAGTCACGGTATTGTAAAAGAATCAGTGTTAACCAATTAAAAATAATTATTAAAAAATGTAAACGAGTCAGTGTAAAAATCCAGAGTTGAAAACAAAATTTTAAATACATACGAGTACAGGGTGATTAACACAAGGTACAGGGTAAAGGACAGGGACAAGGTACAGGGCGGTGAACTTAATTTCAGATATTTTTTTTAAAAATTTTATGATTTTCTCACGTTAGTTTTTAGTATTAGATGATTTTCTAATAATTACCTCTTTTGGTATTTTCAAGAGCTGCGTCTACTTTTAATACTTAAATGGTGCTGATTAATAGTCCTAATCGGATTAAAGTATAACAAAAGTTAACCATACAAGAGTATCCCTTCACGTATGTTTTACCGAAACTCATAAATTAACAACTGTTTACCATTTAAAAGATTTAATAACTTGGTAGACTGCAAATGTTTCCTAATACACTTTATTCCCATGCAAAAGTTTTATCCGATTAAATTACCGCGAAAAACATAAAGCGCTTCGTCAAAACTTTGTTCAGATTATCAATGCAATCCGTGTAAGTCTGCAGCATTTCCATATTATCTAGACTGTTTTAAATAAATGAAACTCTGAACTTTGAAATGTTTATAGGAAAGTTTATAACTCAATTGTAGCTTGATGCATGCAATATGGACTAATGTAAAAAAAAAAAAATTGAAATAAACAAAATCCATAGAAAGTTTGTTCTAAAAGTTGTATTTGAATAAGATGTATTTGTTTCATAAAAAAAAATTTGTTTCGAACCATAAGAAGTGCTCGTCAAATTTTGTTGCCGATTGTTTCAGTTGAAATTGATTTAATAATAATATAAATAAAAGCATGGTAATACATTTTTCTTCTGGTTGTTACCTGTTAATAACTATAGAAGTGGAGGAAACCAAAGGATTTTAGCTAATCTTATATTATCCTTAAATATCACGCTTATATAATGGTCTAAATCTTTACTGTCGTCCAAAATGAGTTTTTGTTTATTATTATTTATATAAATAGCATATAGTTAAAAATTGCATACTTGATAATAGTTAGCTTAAAACCGTGTGCTCTTACAGAAAGTGGATACTTTAAGGCGAGCATTAGCTAAAAGTTAATATATATATATATATGTATGGAATTGTTCCTTTAAGACTTACCATACATAACAGTAGAAAACATTTCACTGTATTGTACGATTTTGGAACAATAACCAAAGTAGATACTTACATTTTTCGCTAAAGCCGAATCTGTGTTCGGATACGTCTAGCTATTTTTTTTAAAATCACTTTTCAAATTTGTAAAAAGATACCATTTATCGGCGTTTTATACGTTTGAATAATATTGTATTTTAAATATGGGTCTTCATTTTATTTGATTTGTATTTTATTGAACTGTTAGACTGTTGTTTACAACTTTAGTAGCGATTTTGAAAACAAATTATAACAGACGTATTTTAGTTGTTTTTTTTTTTTTAAGGCAACATTATACTTTATACAGTGTTATTGTACGATTGTTAAACAAATAACGTTTGAATACATGTTTTTTCTATTAAAATATCTGTACACATATTATCTACGAGTCTATGTACAGTTCAACATTTTGCACACATGTCATAGTAGCACATACGGGCGTATTCTCTATGAAATTACCTGTTTGTTGGCCCAAGTATAAGCGAACCATCGGATCACCCTGGCTTCAAGCTCTTTGGACACCCGCCTGAAAGCCATGTACTGTTTGACGCCATCCATGCGGTTTTGGAACTCCACCCGGGCTACATTCATGTTGCTGATCATGCTGCCGATGTTGCCCACGATCGTGGCGAATATGAGCACTCCGGCCAAAAAATCTGCTACCACGAACACGTGTTCCAGTTCATTTTCCGGCTGCGGGGTTTCTCCTGCAATCACGTGGTACACGTCGATAAGTACATATCATCATTATAGCGGTACGTTAACAAAACAATATCTACAATATTACAAATAGTTTAAGGCTATGACAACGACTTTAGGACCTAATGGATCATGAATATGTCTTGTGATCAGCTGTTTTTCTATCTCTTATCAATTATTGTCTCCTATCAGACGATTATCACTTTCTCCTTATCACCATCGCAATGCACCTCATTCACACTCATCACTACGGCTATAGATAACCGGAAGATACACATAGGTAAATCCTATTTTAATTATATCGTTGTGTATTTATCCGTTTGGGGGTTTACTTCAGTTTTGTGCTATCGAAATCTGCGAAAAAAAATCTAAAATTTTGAATATTTTTTGGTGGCAACTAAACTCTCAGCTAAATTATTTACACGTCATCACAATTCTGCCGAAAAGTAGACCTGATTGATGAACGTTTCTATTATAATAATCGGCCATGTATTGTCGCATATATGATAGTTGTGAAATTCCCAGATACACAGACGCTCTGTTTCACCAACTTTTTTTAAAGTATTTATAACCAACGGGTTAGACATAATAGTATGCTTGACTTTCATGATAATGCTCGGTAAATGTGGTCCTATGTAGGTACCATTATAAGCCAGAATTTTTTGTTATTAAAATTTAACGTTAAAAAATAATAAAAAGCGAAATTATGAACCGTATGAAAAAAATGGTCGTCAAAGATCCATTAGTGAAAGTTTCAAATTAATCTAAATTTAAGTTTATAATATTGTGTTCAATTTGTATGAGTTATTCTTAAGATAAAGTACTACCGATAAACTTTGACAAACCAAATAAATATCGTATAAATACCAAATATAATGGGATAGAACATATTTTTCGTTATTGATTTTTTTCAAGAAAACTTTTAGCACTTAAGGTCTGAAAATTAGGCTAAAAGTAGATTTAGAGCGGGGCTAAAAGGTAGGGATACGGTTTTTAAAAAGAAAACGTTTTTTATAGAAATATTTGTTCGTTATTCTAACATTTTTATCCAGACAACGATTTTGTCAAAAGCTGAACAGTAGCGGTGTGCTTGCAGGTCTGCTGTGCTCCTCGCGTTGGCCTTGGGTTTTTGTTCAAAGGTGAAAAATGAATTACTCTACACGCGCACCGTGAAGTGCTTTAACGACTATATTTACAAAGATATTGCCGACGGTTTTTCTTTTTTTTTTTTTGTTTCTGTTGTTTAGTTATACGAGCATTTTCTTAAAGCCGTACAAAGGCCGTACTGCTGCCGCCGGCACGACAGATGTTCCACGGGGGGAGGGGGGGGAGGAGGGGGGTCGAGATAAAATACCATCGGCCACGGATCTGGCGAATTATTAATCTTGCGGATAGTGTCAGTCGAATGGCCGTCCATTTTGTATTATGCAAAGTCGTTATGAATGGCTGGATATTGTTCCCCGCGAGTGCCACGGTCGGCTGGTACAAAGACAAGGCCAACGCCGGAGGAATCCTGTACGGGAAACGTCGAGCCCTTACAATATTGTTCGGGCGGATAATACAATTAATATTGCTTTTTTTTTCGCTCACGCCGCTGTTGCCCTTTTGTTCCAGAGGGTTCCACGCGGTCTTAATGCCATCGGCTAAATCGTTATTTGTTGTAGGCTACTGTTTGTCGTTAAAACGATTTCGCATTTGTAGTGTGTAACGTTTTTTACGTTGCCCTAAAGTAAAATAAAAAAAATGTATCGCCAAAAACAAAAAATAGCCAGTACAGTGGTCTACAGATTTTATTATAACTGAAAGCGATAAAATCACTTTTAAACAAACCGCTTCGATGCGAATCTGCGGATAGTATGTTCAAACCAGTTATGGCGGTTCAGAAGATATCGCGGGACCAGCAATAATGTACTTAAAATTTAATATTTAGTCTTGTGCAGGGTGGATACGATAAGGGTTGATTGTCTGTCTATAAAAATGTACTACGGCCAAAGTGTAAATTTACCCTATTTTTGGGGTTTTTCCTTAATAAAAAAAAAATTTGACTACAGATTTTTGAGAAAATTGTATATGTTATAGTTCCATTTTAGATCTACTTTCGGTCTAATTTTCAGATGTAAATCTCTAAAACTTTGCTTGGAAAAGTAAAATAAAGAAACAAATTCTATCCCTTCTAAGGGAAAGAGTTTGTGATATTTTTTTGGTTTGTTAATGTTTATCGATAGTACTATGTTTGAAGAACAATTCATATAAATTTGGAATATTTTCGTCTATTTTAAAAAAAAGTTATAGAGCATCGTAGTTTTAAGTTGAAAATTTTGTAAAGTTTTTGGGTGTTTTTCTCGATTTTGATGGGGAAGGGGTGATTTTTTTAAATTTTTGGCCTAATAAAGTACCTTCCAGGTATGATTTCTGATCTATAGAATTGCTACACGAAGAAATCGGTTGACCGGTTTACGAGATATCGTGGGTCCAGACACAAAAATAAAAAATAAAAATACATCATTGTGAAAACAATACCTTCTCAGCTCCGCATCGAAGCTAATATGATCTTAGCCTTAACGGATTAGTCCACGCTCGTGGTAAAAACCCAGTTCTCGCAGGGACATGGTTGTGTTGTTGCTGTGAGATTTTAACACAACTATTTTTCTTTTCTGTTCAGTATGAACAAACCATATACTCCTAAACTAACTCATGTTACTCCTAAAAGACCTGGACAATTTGTACTTACATTTTACACGATAGATAATGAAATATTTCATAATATTTTATTAACGTATAAAAAAATTGTTTTATTAAAATACATTTTTATTTCACTTTTTAAAAATCTGTTTTTTTGATATCATTTTTTAAATAAAAATGTATTTGATTTAATACTTAAATTTACTTTTAAACACATCAGTATTTCTACTGCCATTTTGATTTATTTTTAAATAAAAACGATTTGATTTGATAATTACAAATTTGTTTTAACTAGTTTTGAATTTGTTTTTTGAATTTTTATTAAAATACTTTTTAATGAAAATAATTATTTGAACTTTACTTTAATATAAATCAATTTTCGTGGTTAATTGATCATCGATAATTATCAATGATTGAGGGATAACTGATAAGAAATAATATTTCAATACTAAGGGACTACTGATAAGCAATTATTGTTAAGGGATTACTAATAGAAGAGCGTAACACATTTTTCGAAAGTGAATATTTGTGATATACGATTTATAGAATTACTAAGGATAAAATGATAACCATATTAAAAACCTACATAAAATTGGGTACCGTTGAGTGTTAGTGTAAAGATAGTTTACGGTTTCATATTTAGCATTTAGCTTCATGTCATTAAGGCATGATATTCGACCACGGACTTGCTATCAGGGTATGGGAAGTGGATAGAAATAATAGGATTTCTCGGTAAAAATTGTATAGCTATTAGTGAATACTTTTCCCCTTGACTCTAGATAGTAACTTTACCGAGAAATATTTTTTTTCAATAAATACAAATATGTAATATTATTTGTTAGTAAAAAAAAGATAAACATCTTTTGGCGTTTTATAATTTATTAAGGACAGTGTATGTTTGTGTAAACAGAAACTTTGTAAACATGATCATGTTGCGTCACATAATAGCATATTAGTTGGAGTTAAGAAAATTATCGTCAGTCGTTCAGGGTAAATATTTCTGAATATGAACCCCAAAGCACGGTGGAGGGTTTCACCCTTTCAACACCACAATAGTTACAATAATAAAGAACGCTTATTTGCTTAAATTGCGTTCAATGTTATCTGGTTTTTAATCGATACTCACTCGCCGGTCTAAGAGTTTAAACGAACCAATAACGTTAATGACACCGTTTACATTAGTGTGGTGCTCATATATTAAATCGGTTCTCTCTGTACACTGGGATTCTCGATACTATAGCGGTTCAAAGTAATTTTCGTTACAGCCAAAATACATTATAATATTAATTATTTCCATTTTCACGAAAACTGCTTAAGTAGTTGGACGTCTACCATGGCAGTACGTTGGCCGTATAATCGTTGAACGGTAGCCAACGGTTTTGCATAAATTTTTTTCTCCGTACTTTGGCACCGTGCCCTGCGGACCACCTCTACTAGACATCTTAGTCTATTAGTCTCCAGACGACAAAGTACTGTGGGAGTGAAAAAGAGGATAGTTGGTTAGGGATCATTGTCTTTTTATGATCTTCAAAACTACTTGTGTTGCTTAAGAATAGTGGGAAATAGGAGCGCGACGAAAAGCAAAACGCTCATAATTGGGCGACGCGTATCATCTCTTTTCAGTTTTTTTTTAATGGCTTATCGGTTATCCAGAGATGATCTCGATTTCCCTTTATCACCACCCCATCCCCGTTCATTCCCTTCCACTCTCCTCCCCATCCTCAAACATCCTTTCCAGTGATAATCCACGTGGGATGTAATCGGAAACAAATTAAATGTGATTAACATGACGTTAATGCATTGTTGTATCCTTGGCGAGTACACTTACCGATTGTCGTGAGCGTGAGAGTGGACCAGTAAAAGCAATATATGTACTGTCTGGACAACGAGGAATTCCTCACGCCCTGCAAGTTGTACACCCAGTTGTCCGAACCGAACCCGATCACGTAGCTGATGGCGAAGTACAGACACGAGTTCCAGTGGATTAGGATGAGTATGGCGAACACCACCTTGCAGATGCGGAACACGTTTGGATATCCGGTCTTGGTCTCGGTGCGGTCGAAGAACTCGAGCATTCTGGGCACCCGAAGCAGTCTGTTGGCTCGGACGATCACCGGACATGGCAGGACGTCCGCCGAACAACTGCCGGAAGGCCACCAAAAGTACGCCAGGTCGGTCGGCAACAGGCTCAAGATGTCCGATTTCCATTTTGACGTGCTGAAGTAGTTTTCCCGCAACTTCCGGGAATCCCGGACCATCAGGCCTTGGTCGAGGAATCCTGGAAAAAGCACAAAGTAGTCATTATAGTACGTCAGCACTGAATTCAATATTTGCAACGCGTAATAAAAGTTTGAAAAATTCCTCCACCTGGAAGGCAGCCATTTAGTGGACCGATTTTAATAGAAAGCACAGACAATACGAAAACAGATAGCCGCACTCAAGCCGCAAACAAAGGACATTTTTAAAAAGGCTCATTAGGGACTCGCGAAGATATCAGTGTAGCCGCATGAATTAGTATAAATTACTATGCAGATATTTTACAATATTACTGTACACACTCCTTATAAATCATAACATTTAAATGGTAACTGACTGTATACTATCATAGATTAGATGATTTTTTATTATCTAATCTGTGATGTTATTATGAAATTTTATGCTTGAATCTGCGGTCACACTGATTTAATTTTGAGTCGTGTGAAGTCATGGTTTTTGTTTACACGCCGAGTGAGCTATTTGTTTTCATACAGTCTGTGTAGAAAGTAAAAATGCTACGTTACATTTCTATGATACGTATTAAAATGTTAGATTAGGTGATGATAACATGATGATAAATTCGTCATATATTTGAATGTTAAGGAATTATTATGAACGAAAGCGATAAAATTACTTTTAAACGAAACGCTTTGATGTGAAACTGTAGATATGAACACCACAATGGGCGAACACCTAATTTTCTAGCACGAAAAATACTCTCAGCTAAAGAACTAAGCAAATTCTGTAGCTGATAATTCAGCAGCGCATTTAGGCACACGTTTTCGACAAGATCAAAATGATAAATCAACGGACTTTTAAAAGAAGTGTATGTTAAAAAACCTTCAAGGCGGATGATCTAATTTTTAAATTCCTAAAATTGCTCTAAAAAAAAAATTAGAGAAGAAGTACATTCCTTCCTCGAAAAAAGGTCGAAGCAATTTGCCCGGCATTTAGACGGACGTTCATTCTGCATGAACATTTTTTTTTTTATTTACTTTCGCAGCCTTATAAATAACCTTGGAAAAATGATTTCTGATTTATAGACTGTGCGAAGAAATCGGTCCAATGCTTTTCAAAAGCTTTTGCATGACCAAATAAACACAGCAAAAAAAAAACCCATAATTGAACATTTGGAGCCTACCTCCTTCAGATGTAAAAAAATGTGTCGGTGACAACGTTTCTGTTACTGGGTTAATTGATTCGCCAAAGATGAACTTCAATAAAAATACTCTACAATCGAGTTGGGCTTATAATGAGGTTTTTTTTAACAAGCATCTGTATTATTTTGCTAATGAAGAAATGAGAGATAATTTTTTAACACATTACACGAAAACAGTTTATTTTAATTAACGTATTAGTGTATCATAACTTTCTTAATAAAAGTGGTATTTTTGGATCGTAAACCACTTGTAAGTTCAGCAAACCGAAAAAAGTAGTATTAAAGTGATCAATTCTGTTAAAATATCATAAAAGTAAGTTAGCGAGGTTATAATATTATCATATTTAAAATGAAGATTAAGCACAATATAAAATAAAATTATCAAAAGCTCAACGGAGGATTCTATGGTTTTTAATATTTATTTATTGTAGAGATTTTAATGGAAGTGATTGTAAAACACTTCCAATTTGATTACCACCAAAGACGACATAACGTCGTTGACGTTAAATGCTTTAACCTACTGAAAAGTTTTAAAATATAATAATACAAGAAATCTAACAATAATAACAACAAAAATCCACAAATTTATAAAAAAAACTGTTTTACAAATAATATGAAAAATATTTTTATAGTTTAGATATACTTATAGGTATACTCGTATTGTGTAGGTATGCAATTTCTAAATAAAGTAAAATAAGTAGTTTACTATTTTCCCTTATCGATAAAAAATTACACATCTGAACTAGTACATAAACGTGTACTTGCAGTATGTGTGAATGATATAGGTGTTATATGCAGTTGTTCAGTTAGTGGGTCTTTTTGAAATGGGTTTTTTGCTGTCCCTGCTAATATCAAAACGAAAACAGGACAATGGAGATCCACAATATAAATTTTACTGGTAATGACTCGTGTACGTCACAATCTAGTGACACTCGTTGAGCATAGATATAATATTCTAATACTACAACGTTTTCAATGAGAATTCAATAACCTTTACAATCACTAGTTATGTGTTTTAGTCGCATGAACCTAAAAAAAAAATGAGCTCAGTAAGAAAAAGTAATAGATGCGAATTTGTGTAAATCCTTAAACGCGTTTACTCTTATTATATGTTTAAAAAGTGGCATTAATTTGTATAACATGAGTTATATCAGTCATATTCATAAGGCCATAATGCATATTTTGCAATTTCACCTTCGGCATTTTCAGTATACTTAGTGATTGTTTGGAAAGGTGCAGAGCAGTACTATTAATTATTATTACTATCTGCAAGCACTACACAACCACATTTGCCACACAGCCCTTACTTGAATATTTTAAGTAAAATTAAATTAAATTTTTATTATTATTTTAACTGATTTTAATCTAAACTAGATGTTATGGCAATTTTCCATCCGGATTACATGCAATACTAATTAAACTCATTCATATGGGTTAATAATATCATTTCGTTTGACATTTGCTTGCTAAACATGTAAAAAACTTCAATATGAAAGTCAGACACGTTTGAAAAAAATATTCAAGTGTTTTAACGTTGTGCTACATGTATTAAACTTTTATTGTAAACGTTTTCAAAGTTAGCGGTACTTAAGTTTCTGGGGAAAAAAATAGAGCTAAATATGTGCATGTAAAAGAATGTGTACTGACAGGCTAAAAACCAGGTCAACTACGTCACTGTACTAACAAACCGTGCATATTTACATACAGAACGTAAAGAACTTACTTTGTACTCTAAAACAAAGATGTATAGATGTATAAGCTTAGTCAACCCGATAAATTGACCGACCGTTTAAATTTATGATATTTGTGAACCCAACCTTGCGGGTAAAACATTTTTCAGACAAAAAAAAAGGCTCTAAACGTTTATCTGTTTGAACAATTTTTCTTTGGGCAACAATTTTAGCTACGTAGGTAGGCGATGTTAGAAAAAATATATATTATTTATTACTCTTAAGTGCGTTTACTATGTATAAGTAATGCAGTATTGCAGTAAATAAATAAATTTCAAACGTCATAGGTATATGCTGTTTACATTGGGAACACATGTAAATGTATTTTTTGTATTAATCTTATACATTAAAACAATCTATTATTCCCGGTATTCATTAAAATTAAAATCAAAAAAACAAATTGGTATTTTATAATAACTCGCATTGTGGACATTTTTTTTTTTTTTATTGTTGATCATTTTATTGTATTCTTTTCTATAAAAATACCGATACTAATTACACGGTATATTGTTAAGAAATAACGATAAAATACAAACTACCCAGCAGAAAAAATCCAATAGAATGTCCACATTTACTGTTTTTAATTATAGGATAATTATGCTCCCTTTGTAGTATCAACCGGAAAAAAAGAAAACAATGTAATAAACGAACGCGCGCTATATTATTTTACTCTAGTTAGTACTTTTGTGGGTAATTTATCGTCCTGTCTACTTTCTGAAATTTAGTAATACTGTGAACACTCGTTTCAGCTGAACCCAGTTTATATTAAACTTGAAGAATATCTAGAGAAAAATTGGTTGCAATTTGTACAAATACAAGACAAATAAAACATTTAAACAAAAAAAACAGTCTTATCATTTTTCTTAGCTATAGTTGGAAATCATAAATTTACATACAGATTATACTCTTGATAGATACACCCGTAAAACTTAATTTAATGATTTTTAATGTTTGTAGCTTTGTAAGTTAATCTGATGAACAGTTTTATATTAATTATTATCATTTTAAAGACACGAGCGATTCAAAAAGACCTTGATAAGTTGTATAATTTGTTCTTTAAATAAATTTTCAATTTTTAAGAAGATGCAATTATTTAGCATGAAAACTTGGGGAAATAGATTCTAAGTGAGGTGTGTGATCAACAAACTAAACTTGCTAAGCAAGAGGTAAAACGGTGAAAAAGTGAACTGATAATAAGAAGACAACTTTTGTAAATGTATTGTTTTAACTAGATTTATAAATCTCTATTTGTGCTAAGACGAAAAGTGGTAATTCTCTGCTTTTAATTTTCGTTGAAAGACTTCAGTTTGCATTTTGAAAATACATATTTGTTTAAAAAAAAAAACACTAGTGGAAATTGTTGTTTTTAATAGTGTTATTATACAAAAACAAATCCATATTTTGTACTTTTGATATTAAAACGACCTTAATAGTATTGAGCGAGAGACAAAAACCAAAAAAAAGACAAATACGTGATTTCACAGAAATAGAGATATCCAGTTTTTAAATATAATTTTCAAAAGTGTTAGGATGCATTCGTTCTAATTTATTGTGTGTATTCACATTTTTTGTGGATAAAATTGTTCTTATGCTGGGTTGCACAAAACTTTATTTCGTTCCATAAGCCCCATTAGAACACAGTGATCGGTCCAAACGCGGTTTATGGAACGAAATAAAGTTTTGTGCAACTCAGCATTATGGTGAAATGCTTAAACTGAGTTTTCTTGTTATATCCATAACCTTGGATTACATTATCGAATATACTGTTGGGCAAAACAATATTTAATGATATACACCATACGATTTCCATGCAAGTTAAAATTGCTGTGTTGAAAAATAAAAATAAATTACTCAGCAATTCTCAAAACGTCAGATTTAGAGATGGGCCCATCCGACTGCTGCAAACCAATGCGATTGCGTTGTCTGTACCAATTGGTATTATTTTTTCAAAATTTCACCGACTGTTACGCCTGAAGTACATTTATCTTTTATACCTAGATAAAAGATTAGTGTACTTTAGGTTAGTTCGAACCAGACCCAGTTGATTGGTTGTGTCCTGCGTCGCACAAACTCGAAAACGGTTGGGCTTAAATGTGAAACTTAAATATTTGCGACAAAACCATATAACCCTTT